AACATTAAAGGTCAACTTAATTTAAAAAAATAATAATTTAAGGCCTTAATTTTAGATACATTAATTTAAGACTTTGCAAGAATGTGAGGACGCCATGTTTGTAATGGAAAGTTAAGTGGAAGGAGAAAGTATGGTAGGGAAAAAAAGCCTAAGTGATGGTAGCAGACAGTAGGATCAGAGTTGGATTAAAGTCCATTCAGAACCACACAGACATCTGGGACATAGAATAGAATAGAATAGAATAGAATAGAATAGAATAGAATAGAATAGAATAGAATAGAATAGACTTTGTTGGGTCATAAATTAGCTGTGAAGTCACTCCTGAACCAGAGTCGATGCCAGAAGAGTCTCACTGTCCCAAAGTCTGGAGGGAGAATCCAAACTGATCGAGGTTTTCTAAACAATCAATTAAATCAATCAGGTTTATTTTTCACACATTTCAGCAACAAGGCGGTTCAAAGTGCTTTTCACCATGAACTCATCATAAAAACATTGTGATCATTAATAATTGATCATCTGATTGACTTAAACATCTGATCTACTGATAATCTGCCAGAGTTGGTCTGAAAGTCGCCTTTTTTTTAACTGAACTGAAACAAAGTTCCACAGCATGTCTACGTTAAGGTTTTCATAGTCAAGCTAGCATAACTGACCTACTTCTCTGTCCATTGCTATTCTTTTTAAAATAAACTTTTTCCTGACCTTGTCTAGCTGTAGTATTTACTAAGCTCTTTATCTAGACACCATATTTAAGATGGAACGTGTTATTTTGACAACTTGGCAGCTAAAACCAAAGCTAGTCATCGTTGTGATCAGTTTTTCTCGCGTGACGTCACATTGCAACAGGCCCAGCGGCATTGAATTGTCTAAACATGCTGCAAAGGGTGACAATAAATTTCACTGCTCTAACTTATCCATATTAACCCTTTGATTTACTGAACCTTTAAGTTGGTTCAGTAAATGATTCTCCCATAGTCATGAACTGGAAACCTGTGGGATCTAGACGGGATTACCGAAACAAAACTAAAACTACTGGAGGTTTTAAAAGAAAAAGTAGAAAAAATGGAAAATGCATCCATTAGCCTGAAACAGGGGAGTCCAAAGTGTGGCCCGGGGACCTTCGGTGGCCCTTAAAATTATTTTGATCGCCCCACCCCCCCGACCAACTGGTAAGGATTTAATAAAAACTAATTTCTTCATTTAAATTCAACCCATTTTGTGACCTGCAAGTTGTTTTAATGTGCTGGTGAAAAGTTTGGACACGAAACAATCAAAGTTTGTATAAATAATTATCCACAGAGAAAAAGTAGTTCAGCATCTGTACCAAAATAAAAACCAAATATTTATTAATCCAGCAATCTGTCGCTTTGCTGCGCTGGCAGAAAACCGGCCGCGTGAACAAAGAGTCCTTCAAAAGCTCAATGACTTATGAGACAATAAGATGTAGAGACGGTGCGGCCGCGACAGCCGCGTCCCATCCATCAGAGCGGTGAGTTTATAGAGGCCGTAAACCATTACGCGTCATCATTCAAAGTAAATGTCACGCTGTCAGTCCGGGCAGAAGCAATATCGCCGGCTTATTGTCAAACTATTGATGGAGAGACAAACAGCACCGCAATGACTGCAGGAAAAACTTGCACATGAAGGAACAAGGTCACGAAGGATGGAGAAGCTGCAGCGTCTGATGGGCGGAGAAATTACAGCGTTTCTGATTCTGCTTCATTTGCATAATCGCACCTGTCAAGGAGAGCGGCGTCTGCGGCGGTTATTACTGAAGACGGCGCAGGAATCAGAGCGCGCTTCGCCCGGCGGGTCGTTGCAGCCAAACGCCTTCAATCCAGAGTTCAGCCTGTTTGTTTCTACAGCGTTTAAAAGACACAAAGGTCCTTCACACCTTTTTTAACCCGTCATTTGAAAACCGTTCTCAGTTTAAATTAAATTTATGGAACGTTGCATGAATGCAAAGCCTCAGAACATTTTTAAATATTTCTGTGGCGAACAAAAACACGCAGCTGAAAACGATGATGGTTCTGTATAAACAATTTGATCTTTAAAAGATGTGCTGTGGTGGCACAGGGGTTAAGCACAACCCACATATGGAGACCTCAGTCCTCAACGTGGCCGTCGCAGGTTCGATTCCCGACCTGGCGATCTTTGCCATGTGTCCCTTCTCTCATTTCCCACTTTCCTGTCAATTAAGGCCACTAGAGCCAATAAAACATTTTAAAAAATGTGTGTGTGTGTTTCTTCTGGTCGAATGTGATAAAAATACAGTGTTTCACTGCTGCTAATGCGCCAACAGTGGGGCTAATTTGTCACATTGTGCTTTTGCTAACCTTGAAAACATTTAGCGCATTTAGATGTCAAACTTTGAGCTGAATTCAACATCTGTGTTGAAGTTTTGGTTTTTGACTGCTGAGAACAAGTAGTTACACATTCATAAATAAATCATCATTAAACAAATAAAGCATAATGGACATAATAAATAATACAAGGAAGGACAAGATAGTCGATTATAAAGGAAGGACACAAAAGAGGACTGGTCATTTTTAGACACTGGAATGAAGAAAAATATTTTTTCTATTTACTTCTTTACTTTTTCCAGTCTGGAAAGTGGTGAAATATTTAATTTTTTTTCTACTTTCCAGGCTGTAAACTCAACATTTAAGGCTGCGGAACATAACTTTTATAAAACTATATCATTATAACTATTATAATATTTTTTAAAAGTGTCACCATGTTGTGACAGTTTAGAGCAGAGGTTCCCAAACTGTGGGGCGCCGTGTCATTGCAGGGGGGGCGCGGGAAGCCGTCTGGATGAAAAAAAAACAAACAAAACATGAACACTGTATGACATGGCGACAGTTTTGACAAATATGTAAAGATATTTATATGAAAGTCACATGCTGCACTGTGACTTTGATACAAAATCAAACTAAGTGTTTTGCAATGCAAATATCTTAGTACACTGAAAATAAGACAAAACTAAAACTAAGAAGATATAAGAGCTTTTTTTAACTGAATAATTCCTTAATATTGATGAAAATTATTTATTCCATTGCTAGATTATTTCACTAATAACGATACATTTTCCCCTTGTTGTACCGTAAGTTAAATAATTAGTATTTTTCACCAATATTAAGGAATTATTGGCTATAAATGGAGCTGAAAAGTTACCTGTAAATTAGTTTTGTCTTATTCCAATTGTTCTAAGATATTTGCACTAGAAACTTTGTGTGATTTTGTGTTTTTGCAGTGTGTAACTTCACAAAACCACAATAATTAGCATAAAGACCAAACCTAAATGAGTGCCTATTACATCACCGCTCTGAGAATTAATTTCCCTGTTCAGGATAAAAGGATTAAAGCAACACGGCCCTTCAGCAACCCAACCCCGGTTTTAACCAGCCGACCTCCAGCCTCAAAGCTTTCCACCTGAACCAAAGCCGTAATTAAGAAAACAACTGTTGCACATCCTCCACCAGGCCACTGTCATTACATGCATATTAGAAAATTTATCACCAAGGAAAACAGGCGGCCGGTCCGCTGGCAGACGCATCAAAGGCTCGGTTCTCGGGAGACGGATCTGAAAACACCATCCTGATTAAATTCATGTCCGTCTCTCAAACGGCCCGGTTCTGTTACGTTTCATTATGCGCCTCGATAAGAACCAGAGCCGTGTTTTTGCTGCGTGTTATTCCGGCTTTATGAGTCAGTTAGGAGTTTAAGAAGTTACATCGGTATTGATGTTTAAGAAATGCCAGACAGTGATGCAGAATAAAGGGCTTGGAGGAAGGATTTTCACCACGGAGACAATAAAGGTGTATGACCTTTCATATGTGAATGGAGTGTGTTTTATTATCTTTCCCTGATAAGATCACAGCTTGAGTCTCTGCTTGGAAGCAGCACATGTGGCGTGAGCCTTTAAGACCACATCGTGCAACATTTTTATCATTCCTAGAAGAAAAACTTTTGGACTTTTGTTATAATGAATATTGTGAATCTGCAGGTCAAAATGAAAAATCCTAACTACAGAAATAACTTGTGAAGATTACAGCTAGCTAAACAGATAGCTAATGCCCTAATCATAAACATTAGTTATGCTAACGCTAAACCTCTACACTGAGAGGGGATTTAGCAGAAGCTAATGCTAAAGCATTACACTAACATTTTATTTAGCAGAAGCTAATGCTAAAGCACTACACTAACCTATTTAGCAGAAGCTAATGCTAAAGCACTACATTTAACAGTGTTGATACTCGCTGTCACTGTGCTACATCTTCCTCCTCTGGGTCTTATTTGTTTTTGGACAGTTATCTGGACGGTTTGCACATCAGGAAGTGATTCTTTGAAACATATTGCGCACCACCAGTTTCAATTTCATAGTTGTTAAGTTTTGCTAACTCCGTTGCTGATTTTGCTGAATCGACCAAAGTAACCAAGTAAATGTTAGCTGACCAAGTTTTTTTTGTTTGTTTGTTTTGACAAACTTTACAGGCGCTAACGAAGGCGCAGTCACAGTGAAGTTGGCCGCAGTCTGAAGAGCATGACGTCATGTTTAAAGGGTCAATACCTCTTTTTAAACAATCTTCACCCACCTCAAAACAAGATAACAAATATAAACAAACTGAAAGTTTACAAAATGCCAAGTAAATTGGTCCTTCAAATTAAATGCATCTGGAAAAGTTAGCTTAGGGAAAGGAAGGTGTGCTGCTAAACGAAAGATTAGCTCCACTATTAGCGTATTAATGGAAGTCAATAAGAGAGATTTGCCTATATGAGGGACAGAAAAACAGTGTAAATATTTGTATTTTCTGTGAAACTCCCCTGCTGTTTGGCTGTCACCAGCAGAGAAGTGAGCTGCACCTCTTTCCTCTCCTCTCCCACCTCATTATCAGAAATCCATGTCGGCTCCGTCAGGTGTGAGCGTCGGGTGTGAACCTCGTCTGTAACGTGTCACAGCTGCTCAGAGAAATAACCAAACTGCTGCTTGACTTTACCTAAACTGGGGATTTCAGTTGCGCAGAAATCAGCTTTGCATTCCTCCAACTTATGAAAAAACGGTCCGTCTTTGGGGCTTCTTCTTTGTAAATGTCACCCTCCTTCAGACGTCCCTCAGAAAATGTCACCTCTCCACCCTTTTCATTAACTCAGCAGCTCGCCTCTCGATTATACACCATATTCCATTACAGGGATCACAAGCCGAGGGCGAGGTTCCCCCTGCCAGCCGCTGTGATTGAGAGGCCGAGGACGGCGGCTCTGCATGTCCTGCCGTTACGGTCGATCAGCCGCCGCTTATCGAGATTTTCCAACATTCACTGCAAACCTGCAAAAGGGAGAGGAAAAGGTTCAACTCCAGATTTTTTAAAGTGAAATTATATAAGTTTAGACGTTTATAGGAGAGAGAAAAATGACTTTTTCCTGCCCGCTTCCTTTGTTGAAGTTTTAAGCTGTAAATGTATTTAGCAGAAGCTAACGCTAAAGCATGACATTAGCGTTATAGCATTGTATTTAGCAGAAGCTAACGCTGAAGCATGACATTAGAGTTATAGCATTGCATTTAGCAGAAGCTAACGCTAAAGCATGACATTAGCATTATAGCATTGTATTTAGCAGAAGCTAATGCTAAAGCATGACATTAGCGTTATAGCATTGCATTTAGCAGAAGCTAACGCTAAAACACAACACTAGCAACGTTTGTACTCATTAAGATTGCTTTTCTAGTAATTTGTGTCTTTCGTCTGATAATACTGCATCTGTACTCTCAAAGTTTTTCTCAAAAACTCTTTGTCTTACCCTGATAATTTGTTGGAGCATTTTAATTCATTCCTAACCTTCTAGAATGTGTCAATTATATTTGGACTGATTAAATGATTGGTAATTGTCATTAAATTAACTTTGAACCCCTTTAAGGTCATAGTAAGATAACATATTAGCAATAATATAAAGCACTGAAGGATTCTGGTGTCTCTGCATCATTACTTTTTAACTCTGATTGTAAAGAAGCTACCTCAAGATAAACATATTGTTTTATTGTAGTTTAGGGGGAAAATAGTAACATTTCAGCTTCTTGAAACTATTTATGTCCTTGGTGCAACCCGGTAGATTTAAGAGTGCCAAAGAAATGGTTGATAAGTCAATGGTAAATGAGTTGATTGGGTCTGTGTGGTCTAATAATTAGCTAATTCCCAATGAGAAGATCCTGAATTTAAAAGCTACACAGGTGAAGAAGAAGAAACAGGTGGGCTTCACCCATTTTCATAAATTTTAAAACGCTTTCTCTATGTAGGATCAAAGACTAGATATTAAAAGTAGTAATGTTTAAATTTGGAAGTATTTATTTAGAGATCACAGGTGAAATACCCAGGACTGGTTCCAGTGGTGTTCACCAGGACTAAAGTTAGGAACCCAAACTTTTTATAATTAATATCAAAGTTAAAGGGTTAACTTTAAAAAACAAACAAATAAATAAATCACTGTCCAAGGTAGAAATGACTTGTAAATGATTAGTTAACAACCCAGTAAACACTGAAATCTCTGAAGCAGAATTATACAAGACATGTAGCTTTTACAAGATAAAGCCATTGGGTTTAGCCAATGACACTAAATCGTAAATGTACGTCATCTAGAAAAGAAAAAGGGATGCAGTGCTTTGCTACTAATTGTCAACACTATGACAACTAGAAAAGGTCAAAGGGCATCACATATCACTGAAAAGATTTTATTAAGAGAGAGAAGTGAGTCAGTTATGTTAGCTTGACTATGACAATCATAACATGTAGCTGTGCTGCAGAATTCTGTGTTTCTCTTCAGTTAAAAAAAAGGAAAATTAAGCAACCTAAACACCGACTCTGTCAGATCGTCAGTAGAGCAGGTGTTTAAATCAACCAGATTGGCGGCAAATTAATAACGGGAAAATAAACATAAAGCCTGAAAACATAAAAACTGTAGCTGACTGAACGTTCTGCTCTTATGTGGGAAATGTTTGAGTGTTTTCTGGTGTTGAATTGTGATACATTAGTGGAGCTGTTGGAAGTCAATTGCTATAGCGACAGGTCTGATAGCGTGGTTTTGAGTTCAACTTTTCTCTACATTATTTTCCCTTTGGGCACTAAATTAATACCTTCAAGCTTCTGGTTTCATTTTGTTAATGCAAAATTTTTATTTATATAAATATATGTATTTCTTTTTTATATCTTAGAATGAGTTTTATTAGAGTTTGAGATTTGGGTTTTTTTCCAAGTTTGATGGTTTTTTTGCTGAAAGCTGTCAGATCTGGCAACCCTGATTCAATAAGGCAACATTTCTTTAAAGTGGTTGGTGGAGCTGGTTTTTGTCTTCTTTAAAAAATAAACTCTTAAGGTCTGTCTCATCTCATCTTCTGTATTAATCCCGTCTCGTCTGTATACATCAACCCACCTCATGTTTCATTTAAGCCGTTTTACTTTCAAAATGAAATCTGGAGACCTAATACAGTCTGAAAAGTAGGTGCAGCGACGCGGAGGCTCTATAAATGCAAATTGGACGAATCTCAACGAGAGGAACATCTTCCAAATGAATACAAACGCCCGAAACAATCCTCTTAGTCCTCTCATATTACTGTCAGCTGTAAACCTTTTTACTCGACGCCCGCCATCACTCAAAGTCAAGGACAATATTTGTTGCTGCTGTCATGGAAACGGAGCAGGAAGTAGGAGTTGAACTCTTGACACCAAGCCATAAACAAGCCACCCAGGCATCTGATCCACGATGCATAATGCAGCGCTGCGTAACCCCCATCTTTCTCCACCTTCCTCTGCCTCCGTTGGTTCCCTCCATCTGCTTTAATCACATCCAGCTCTTCCCCCTTTGCCCCTCGCTCCGTCCCACATCAGTCGGAGGTGCGGAGAAAATTAGCTCCTCTGGAAAGCATGCTGGGGAATCAAAGTTCACGTTCGGTCACGGCGTAATTAAAGATGAAAATGTAGATTGCGACATGCAGAATGAAAATAAATTTAATTCAAGATTCAAAATTAAAATTGCCCCCTGAATCGGTCTCCGGTGGATACTTGAGCCGATCGAAGAGGCATGCAATCGTCTTAATGCGTCCGAGAGCCACAGCCGCGTCGTATTTTATGATTAACTTCGGTTGTGAAAAGTTAAACCCACCTTTTGTCTAATGAACAAGGATTCAGGGCTGCGTGGATCCAGGTGAGAGACAGAACAGCAGCAGGTGAAACCAATTAAATCTAATGATGAAATCACATCCACCTGCAGCACCAAGAAAAAAAAAATAAAAATCTGAAACTTCGCCAATGAAATAAATAAACCGAGACAAATGCATCGGCGTGGTTTTTAATACTCATTAGCGACATGTTTTATTTTATTCTGCTGTTTACTGACGCTGCACGTGACGTCACTCTCTTCAAACTCCACCATGACGGACGTCATAACAACCACTTTAAAAACCGCACATGTAGTAGTCATAGTAATCTAATGTCGCTTTTATTTAGTTGATTTCGATGCAGCTCAAATAGACAAGGGTGAAAACCAAACTGCTCATTTTATTTTATAACTTTAATGAGGAAAGATGCGCGGTGGTTGACAGCAGCCGGCAATCGACTGTCGGTTTAATCACGGATTTCCAGCGAACACTTTTTACAACGTTCATATGCTTTATAAATAAATATGATTAGAAAAATATCAAATATTGCCTTATGGAGAAGGTACGTGTCTGACCATCAGTAACCATGGAAACAGTGCTGCGCCGTCATGTAGCCTAGCATGCGTGGGTAAAAACTGATTAGCATCTCGTTTTTTGTGCGTTTTTAAGGCTGCTGCGGTGTAAAAGGGAAACGCTGTTCATGACATAGTGACAAATCATGTGGTGTGAATCCAGGGAAAGCCGGTAATTAGATCAACACGTCAGGTGGGAGGAGGTTCGGGTCGGTTTCTAAGCTAGCTAGCGCCTCTATGAGCTGCAGCCAGGTGTGTTACGTTCAAGAAGAAGCCATGAATAAACCGATAAAACAACTTTGGTAAACAGTTTCAGTCACTGATCAGTTCAACACTCCCCATCCTCATTTCCAACGTCCATCATGGCGCTTCGAATGATTTTGTGACTTGCAAAGGGTCAATTGTGTTTGTGACTGAGCTGAAAATCAAATATATTAGGGGAAAATATTAAAAAGCTGCAAAAACATGGTTGCATAAAGAGCAAAACACATCAACACAGCAGGCCAATGCGACCCAAAGCGGATCATTTTAGTTCAGACATAATGTTGACAATTCAACAGCTGAAACCAGTAATGGCCATCATGAGGCTGAATGGGTCTGTAAGTAAGGTAATCAACTACTAATCACTTATTAATAATCAATAAACATCAAGTCTGAAAACATAAAACTGTGATGGACTGAAGGTTCTGTGGTCGTAGACTCCTTCACTTCCTGCTCACAAAACTCGTCATATAAACAAATTTTTATCCTTTGGTTCATCCTCTAGGATTTGTTTCAATTGTTTTTACTTGTGTTACTTCATATTTTCAGACAGTCATGTGGAGCCCTCTTTCTGTTTTAAAGTATTTTCTGGATACAGTTTCATTGAGGTTTGGATGACGGTTCTCCGCTCAGGGCGACAGGTTTCACCGTCAGCTCAGCGCGGATCTCGTTACACGAAGGTTTCCTTGGTGCCCCGTTTGCCACGGCGACGCCAGATGACGCAGCTCTCGCTCCCATCTGCCCCGGCCTGCAGACGTCTTGCAAACCAGAAGCAGCACAGATTGTGACTCTTGTGTGACTTCGCAGGCACAGCAGGCCACAGCGCTTTCTCCGAGCCCGACGGTCCTACGTCCCATATGACCCGCGCTGGATGTGGGAAAAGCGCCGGTTGTATGAATGCTCAGTTGGGTATCTCTCAATCTGTGATGACCGTCGCATCGTTTTCACGGCTTCTTTTGAACACGTTCAGCTGGAAAAATGAATAGGCTTGTTGTTAAACCTGAATGCTGTTGATTATATAGACGCATCAAACGCACAGGATCCCGCCCCAGCTTCCTGCTGGAGGGCAAACCAGGTCGCCACTTCATAACAGTTTAATTCACCAATTTAAAGGTACATCCCAGTAAACCAAAGAGTAAACCTGTTTTATTAGAGCAGTGAAACTTATTTTAAACATTTAGACACGTTCCAATGTGACTTCATGGGGAAAATCAAGGGGAAAAGCTGCTCACCAACAGTGACTACCATCGGAGAAGCAGTGAAGCAATTGGTAGCTTTGCTACCAATTGTGAACACTAGGACAACTGGATCAGGTCAGAAAAAAGTTTTTAAAAAATAGCGAGGAAGA